ATGCCCGCTGCTCATCCAACTGGAGTGCACACGGACACACTTGGACATTGCTTGCCCTCAGCTTGAGTAGCCCAGTTCCGAACAGCTCATGGCTGGTTGTGGGCCACGACCCGGGGTTGGTATCCAACCTTGACAACTTTTAAGACTTGTAGACTTCAATATGGCTGGCTGGGGAATGCTGGGAACTTGAAGTCCACAAGTCTTAAATTTAAGTTGCCAAGGTTGGACACCCGTGCTCTAGACAATCTGAAATAAAAACTTTGGAGTGTCAACCAAGATTTGGAGAGAACTTAATGTTATGATCCTTTGCATTAAATGTTGGCATCTAGTGAGAGCCAGGAAGCGTGCGTTTTCCACAGTAGCCCCTGCCCTGTGGAACATCTTTCCCTTGAGATCTAACAGGATCCACTTTCTTAACCATAAAGAGGTAGTTTGACCCCAGGCACTATGATCATAATAAATAAAAATAAATGATTGGAGATGGAATAATGGAGAAATCCCCTCGATTGAGGCTGCCCCCTGCAGCACTCCACATTACTAAAGGGCTACCTAATCCCACTTTTTTTTTTGAAGTAACATGAAATATGTAGGCCAAAAGAAGTTTTATGCTGCTCTAAATTCTTTCTTCCCCCAGAATGCTAATTATAATGCAGGCTGCTATAACAAGTTATGCTCCAGATGTATTGGAACTACAGCTTCCAAACACCCAGCCAGGATGGACAAGTTTGGACCCTCTCGACTTCAAAGTCAGCTTAAATGCCAAACCTTCTGTACATTAACCGTGTTCTACAAAAGTAGACATTTTATCAGTTGCTGCATACAAAGATTGAAGAAGCCAGTCCTTTATTTGCCAGTGGCTCTGTTTCACTTATAGAACATGAGAAGTTGTCATTGGAGGATATTATTTGCCAAACACCCAACAAGCAAGCAAGCAAGCATCATTAAGTCAAAATCTGATAAGCAGTGAGCTATTTTCTACAATACTCTTGCTTATACGCGACTCCTTCTTAGAATTTACATGAAATGAACTATGAAACATGGGATTCCATTGAATTTCTGCTTTGGTTTACTTACCCTTATTTCTGAAAAGCAGTATAAAATGTGATACCTGTTCCTTCCATTTAACTACTTGGTTACACCTATCAAATTCTTTTGCCCATTAAAATCCTCCATATATTGAAGTGAAAAATTTCTCTCCCCCTTTCTCCTCTCTCTCTCTCTTGCTCATACACACACAAACAGCCATATATGCAAAAAATGTATGCTAGGCTAGAGCTCACTGATAGAACATTTGCTTTTCATGGAAAAGGAATCAAGTTCAATCTCAATCTCAAACATCTCCAGGAAATTGAATTATGTTCAATTCTGGTCACGTCACAAACACATCCATGTTTCTGTGGCAAGCTGATAGCAGCAGTCTGCTATTGTCTTGTTGTGGGAGAATTTTACCATGACTTAGGTTAGCTTCAAATATAATTATAATATAATAATATAATATAATATAATATAATATAATATAATATAATATAATATAATATAATATAATATAATATAATATAATATAATTAATATAATATAATATAATATAAATATAATATAATATAATATAATATAATATAATATAATATAATATAATATAATATAATATAATATAATATAATATAATATAATATAATATAATATAATATAATATAATATAATATAATATTAAAGTTGGAAGGGACCTTGGAGATCATCGAGTCCAACAATCTGCAAATCCAAGCCCTGGGATTTCTCAGTGGTCTTCTTCCAAGTACTAACCAGGCTCAGTCCTACTTAGCTTCCAAGACTACTGAAGTTAGGCATGGAAAACTTGTCCCAAACGTTGGATTGCTTCTGTAGTTAGTCAGATGGAGCATAAATCAGCATACGGCATCTTCTTGTTCTTTGCAATGCTTATAATGTAATGCATTCTGCACCAGTGGATTTTTTTCAATTGCAGTGCTTTACCATTGTTGAAATTATATGTAGCAGAGAAATGAAAAACTTGTCACATTAGTAAATATTTTCTTCTGCGACTCTTATTAATAATAAAATGTAATAAAAAATCACTTTCTGAATCTTTAAAGGTCTACGAAATAAGTACTGTTAAAAACAAAACATTTTTCTTAACTGTCTGTGATATTCAGTTATAATCCATTCGGCTTAGGTAGAAAATTGATTTTCCATTTAACAGTGATGCCAATAAAACATAAATCAAATATATAAACCTGCTTTTAGATATATTTGCAAAAAAGCCCCAAAGGGATAAGGACCAATAAACTAGTCACACAGTCGTATTTTTGTTGCATAAACCAATAGAATGCAAAGATTTTTACTGAGCAGATAAAGATGACCAAATCATAATGAAAGATCTTTCAACTTGATGTCAATATCTTTTTCCTATATGTCTTTCTCCATTGGCTTAATCTATTAATCTAGTTATGAATATTACCTGAAGACTGACTTTTAGTGCAGTTGCAGGTAATTAACAAAAAGGTTTGCAGACTGGCAAGATAGCTATAGGAAGCCTGGGCAGTCGCTTTTTTGTAGCCTTAGAAAGGGAGACAATGGTAAATAATTTCTGAAAAGTGATTGCTTGCCAAGAAAAGTGAAGGACTTACAAGGCAGTCTCTGAAAATAAGACAAGATTGNCTGAAGACTGACTTTTAGTGCAGTTGCAGGTAATTAACAAAAAGGTTTGCAGACTGGCAAGATAGCTATAGGAAGCCTGGGCAGTCGCTTTTTTGTAGCCTTAGAAAGGGAGACAATGGTAAATAATTTCTGAAAAGTGATTGCTTGCCAAGAAAAGTGAAGGACTTACAAGGCAGTCTCTGAAAATAAGACAAGATTGAATGGAAGGGGGGAAAAACCAAAGGGTTTGCAGACTGGCAATAAAAGATAGCTATAGGAAGGATCAGTTTATATATAAATTTTATTGACAATTTTCAGTACAGCAATAAAAACTAATACAAACTAAACTCAGAAAGTAATAAAGAATAAAAAGTGCCAAGAAAGTAAAAGAAAAAAAGTCAAGGAAAGAGTGAAATGAAGAAAAGATATGACACCTGATCTTACAAGTTTAGTAAAGTTACAAACAGATATCTATGTCTTCATCCCATACCCCGTCCTTATCTATAAGCTGGGATGTTGGCGTTTCCTTTTCCTTGTATCTGTTCCACGAAAACATTATGAATATGGCACGAGATGAGGCTAGCAGGAAGAAAAATGTCAAGAAATGTCCAAAAAATCCATTTCAAAGGGCCATTCTCATCAAGAACCATAAAGCAGGTTCACTACTATTTGTTTTTTTTTTTAATCTTGTCACTAAACAAATTTACATTTGGGGAGTGCCCCTGGAAGACTAAAAAAGGTCAACATGGCAGCTACAACCACTTGATTGAAGTCCCACTGCTTTTCTACATTGATATTCTGGGCTGGGGCTTTGATCAGGCAGTCACAGTCACCATCTTGACTTTTTTGACCTCCTTCTGCAGATGCCCCTAGATTTACAACTTGTATTGTCCACTTTATGAACTCAAAACTCCGATCACTCAACCTGCACATCCGCAGAAAATTATCTATTCAACTCAAAGTCTAGTTGACTAGACCAGGTTTACATTCCAGAAGAACTGAGATAGATAACCCATGGTGCACATTCCTCATTCTACCTTATTGTAGACCTACCTATAGACCAGGGGTAGTCAACCTTGGCTCTTTTATGACTCGTGGACTTCAACTCCCAGAATTCCTGAGCCAGCTTAGCTGGCTCAGGAATTCTGGGAGTTGAAGTCCACGAGTCATAAAAGAGCCAAGGTTGACTACCCCTGCTATAGACTATCAAAGCTAAGCCAGTCCTATCCTCCTACCTTTCATTCTGGGTGCTTTTCCCCCAGAATGCCCCTGCCCCAGAACTTTGCAATAGCAGCAGTATTAAACATCCAAAACCTGGTTTCCTGCTGAATCTATCTCAACAAGAGTACCCATATAGTAATTTAATCCAAATTCTCAAGGGAGCAAAAGAAGGCCTAATTTGGGGCCAGGTGGGGTGGCTTGCCACGAATACCTCAGAATACGTGCAAGAGCACCCATGACACTGAAACACCAACTCTGGTGTCCTGTGTTGCAAGACCGCCTCGGTGCTCAGTTCATAATTCCCTGCATTTGTTCACTAAAGTCAGGGGTAGGCAACCTCGGCTCTTTTATGACTCGTGGACTTCAACTCCCAGAATTCCTGAGTCAGCTATGCTGACTCAGGAATTCTGGGAGTTGAAGTCCACGAGTCATAAAAGAGCCGAGGTTGCCTACCCCTGACTAAAGTAAAAGGACCATGCGCGCTTAAATTTGTCAGGCGAGTGCAAGCAACAAATTGGAACCAGTTTCTCACCTGGCCCACCGCTAACAGCTTTTACTATTCACCCGCAGGAGTGCGGTGGCCAAAACCAACCGCCCCACCAACCCACCAACCCACCGGAGACCGAGAGCGGTACCGACATTTCTTCCCGGGTTCCTCCCAAGGGAAGGGAAGAACGCCCTCCGCTCGGTAGATGGCGCTATGGGACTGAGCCGCAGCGCTCTCTCCTCCGGCTGTGGACTTTCCTCTCCTCGGCACCGCATCATGCGGGCTCGGCCGGCCCCTCGCGAAGAGCCGGAACGCCGCTGCCGCTGCCGCTGCTACTCCCGCCACCAGACCCCGGAATCCCGCGGGGCTGCTGTCGCCATGAGGCGCTGAGAGTGACGGCCCTCAGGAGAGCCCAGAAGGCCGAATCCACCGCCGCCGTCGCCGAGCAAGCGGACAAGCCGAGAGTCGAGCCTCGCCGCGCGCTCGTTCGCTCGCCCGCGGCCCGTCCGAGACCATGTAAACGGAGACCGGCTTCAGCCCGAAGGCCGGCCCCGAAGAGCGGGGAGGGCGCCGGAGCTGCTGGCTCGGGAAGGCCCCGCCGTGCTCCGGAACGCGCGTGGGCTGGGGGGGGGCGAAGAATATGGCGGCGTCTAATCTCTTAAAGGTGAGAGGGAGCGAAGCGGGCACCCCCTCGCCCGGCTTGGCCCGTCCGACCACTGGCTCCTCCAGCCCCGGGGCTGGAGGAGCTCATGAGGGGAGGGAAGGGAAGGGAAGGGAAGGGAGGGCCGTCAGGAAATGGAGGAGTGACGGAGGGAGCCCTAATAAGGGGGGCTGGGAGGACGTGGGGGTTTGTATTCGTGACCGCGCTACCCTTTGACTTCCGCGGTCCTGTTAAACTGAACAACGTTCGTACCGTTTATTCATGCAATGCCCTCGGCCGTGAGCGGTAAGAGCCCCCCCCCTTTTTTTTTTTTAGCCAACCACGGCCGAACAAGGGGGACCGACCTAGAGATCCAGCCCGTGTAGATGAGAAAGAGAGAGTGAGTGGCTGGGTTCATGTAACGCGCTAACCCGATATTGCCTGAATGGACTCGGTTACATCACCATATAAACCAACTAAGCTGACTGCGTTTGTGCACACCTTAATAACACACATTATCCGGCCAGAATTTTACTTAGTATGTTGTGTACACTCAGCTCCTGTAATAATGGTTTATGGATGAGAGTGCTATCAGTCTTCCATCATATCTATCTATCTATCTATCTATCTATCTATCTATCTATCTATCTATCTATCTATCTATCTATCTATCTATCTATCTAATCTATGTATGTATGTATGTATGTATGTATGTATGTATGTATGTATGTATGTATAGAAAACTGCTAATATTCATGCCTCCTGTAGTATGTTGTGTACACTCAGCTCCTGTAATAATGGTTTATGGATGAGAGTGCTATCAGTCTTCCATCATATCTATCTATCTATCTATCTATCTATCTATCTATCTATCTATCTATCTATCTATCTATCTATCTATCTATCTATCTATCTATCATCTAATGTATGTATGTATGTATGTATGTATGTATGTATGTATGTATGTATAGAAAACTGCTAATATTCATGCCTCCTGTTTTCACCACCACAACTCAAAAGGTGGGTTGGGCTGAGGGAGAATGGCTGGCCCAAAGTGTTAAGGGGGGGGAAGCATGGTTGAGTGTGGCTGCTTGTGTTGTGTGAATGCCAACATGAATGCCAATATTTTCTGAGGGGCTTTGATTGGTATCTCATGGATCAGATTTTTTTCTGCTTGGCTATCCTTAACTGCAGGTAGCCGACTGGGTGGAAATAAACTTTGTCTTATCACTTTACCAAAGAAATCCCCAAAGCCATTTGTTTCCATACTGCATTTAACCTGCCCTGAAAAGTGTGATGAAATAGTCCACTTGATAATGTGCTCTTATGTTTTAAATATTTTATACCTCCCATTAAGTAGTCGTAGAATAAAAGTATAGTTATAAGGTAAGGAAAGAGAACATTTGTATGTGAATATACATTTCAGAGAATTTAGAAATATACTTATTGAGGGTAAAGGTAAAGAGATTTCTAGTGCAGGTATTTTTTCTCAGTGTTGAGCATGGCTAGTAGCTTGAATTTAATGTTGATCTTTAAAATTGGAAATATAGTTGAAATGTTTCCTATCTATCTGATATACTTTAACAAATCTTTACTTAATTTACTGTGTTTGTATATTGTGTTCAATGATTTGATAGTAATCTACTTTCTTGCTCATAAAACATTGAACATTTCATAAAAGAAAGCATATGCAATCACTTACATATATGCAAAATAAAAGTGGATATGAACTAAATGTTTTAAAATAACTATTAATAGATTAAAACTACATTATGCTTCTGTTTATTCTATTCTACATTATGCTACTATTTGCTTCATATAGCTCAGATTAGTCTGCACGTGAATTCACTGAGCGGTTCACACAATACTAAGGTTAAAATTTGGAGGGCTAGTTTATGGCTCAGAAATGGTGGCTGTAAGGAAGTACATTTGTTTTAAAATTATTCACTGACAACATTTCAACATTAAAAAGAAATTTATATAAATGCTGGATGGGCAGAAATTGTGATTTTTAATGATTAGATAAATAGATTTATTTTAAAAATGAGCATAATCTCAAAAATAGGTAAAAAGCAGTAATAAGAAATAGTATATAATAATACTAAAGTCAAATGTTAAAATGGATCATACAAAAATACTTTTATTTTTTGAACCATACAGATATTTAAATATATATGAGATTAATCTGTTCATTGAAGGTTAGCCATCTAAAAATTCAATCAATATTTTTCGATCAAGTTGTGTTGAGCATTGTAAAGAAACAACATGCATTCATATGGCTCTTATTATATTACTGTCCTGTTCATATTCTTCTAAATCTAATCTGATGGATGATGGATGTTCATAAAATGCATTAGTTTCTCAAAATTTCTAGTGTTTATGAATAGAATGGATATGCTTGAAGATGCCAATCTTATGCAGCTTGGCCATCTGTGAAAATATTGCATGGTTCTGGCTTTTAATCTGGTGGGAGGAAAACCAAATGAATTTTGAGAATTTATCTTGATAATATTCCAGATTATCTGGAAACAGAAGCCTACTCATAGTTGCTTCTAGATTTCTGAGTGTCCTAATCCTGGCTATCTTAATAAAACTGTTAAAATGTTAATGTGTGCAAAGTAAAATTAATACCATTCTTGGCACGTATCCAGGGGTGGAAGAATCCTAAATCATCAATACACGTATACGCATAACAATGAAAGCAACATGAGTTCTTCTTCTTCTTGTGCCATATCCGTTATCGGATGTTGGCAATCATGTTGGCGATCCTGTTTTTATCAGCAGCCGCGCGAAAAAGTGCTGCTGAGTTTTGTCCAAACCAGTCCCTTAGATTTTGAAGCCACAATGTTCTTCTTCTTCCTGGACCTCGTTTGCCTTCAATCTTTCTCTGGAGGATTACATGGAGTATGCCGTATTTTTCTGAGTGTCGCATAACATGTCCGAAATATTCTAATTTTTGTTTTTTAATTGTTTTGATGATTTCCCTTGGCTTTCCCAGGCAGCTTATCACCTCATTTCTGATCTTGTCAGCCCAGCTTATACGTAACAGCCGCCTGTAAATCCACATTTCAAATGCTTCTAGTCTCTTCAGGTGGCCTTCTGTCAGAGACTAACTCTCTACTCCATAGAGCAGGGTAGAACATGAGTTAAGGTTCCCAATACTAAAGTTCACACATCATGTCAGGCTATGACTTACTTAACCATGGTTTTAAAACACCTTACTATTGACATGATTTATACATGTGCTATGGCTTAATGTGATGCAGTTTGCAGGATAACTGTTTTTAGGTGCTCAAAAGAGTTTTAGGTGAGTAGGCCTCCCTGACATTGTTTTTAACTTTCATGCATTAATTCCTCATGCATTGTTTCAAAATGGCCTACACTGTTATAATAGTAGCTTTTAGAAATAATCATGTTGAATTATCTGAATTTACAAATTTTGTTAGCTATACGTAACTAAATCTAGATAAATACTTGTTATTATTATGAAGTGCCAAACATTGGAGTAGTTTCCCATTCTGTTCACTGAGAAGTAGATCAAAGACATATTTTGATCAGTTTCGCGATAAGACATTAGCCCCTCCGAGGCAATATTTATTTTTACAGCTTTTTTAATATTGTCTTTTTGCAAGGGTTTCATTTTGTTTCTGCAGTGAACAGCCTGATTTGTTGGATCAAACCAATTAATTTATCTACTGTGATTAGTGAAAAAAAGTTGGCTCAAAATTGAGTCTTCTTTCTGCAAGGAATCTCGAGTTCATCAACCCTTCCCCCCTTCCTCTTCAGTCTGTTGAAGATAGAGCATTAATCCCTGCTATCTTCCTGTCTCTTCCTTCATCTCCTCCACCTTCATATTTTCTCCATCAATTATCTTTTGTACCCTTCTTCAAGGGTACAAAGTGAAGGAAGCAAAGGTGTGTGTGTGTATGGAATCATAGCGTTATCATTGGGTTTGGTTGAAATTCCAGAGCGTAAATTAAAACATAATATTCTTATGGCTAACATGCATTGGCTGCATTTTTATAAATATTTTTTGGGGGGAGAATAAAAGTGGAATCAACAGGCATATACTGCGATGTCTTTTTTTCCCTTTTGCACAAAGCCCATACAGGTGGTGCTACTGTAGTATCACTTGTCCCAGTTTCTTTGTTGCTGTATTATCTGTACCTCTTTGTTTCTTTGCTTTATTTGTGGGTCCAGGTGGTCCTGTAAATTAAACAGCTGTTGTACTCCTCCTACCCTCCAAGTTTTCCAACCTCCAAGATTTGAAAGGGAGAAGAAAGCAAGTAGAAACAAAGTTCTAAATTGGGCTGATATGAAGTCCTTGATTATAGCACCTCTTATCTTCTTGCAGTAGAGCTACACTAGTGAAACAATTTTCAGTTGCCAAGTTTGCTCAGTTTGCTAAGAAGTTATGAAATCTGTTTAATGTCTTAGGTGAACTCAGTTATTTTGGTTAGTAGACTTTGGTTTATAATTTAAGCATGTTTTACAAACTCATCCAATTGTGATTATTCAGTACAATTGTATTAGGCCATATTCTTAGTGAAAAATGTTGAACTGATCACACTGCTGAAAGACCAGATTTGTAGTGCATATTGTAGTTTTATTCAATAATCTTTGGAAATATTTTTCATGTTCATTCATGCTCTAGGCTCATAGTATAATCTATTTCTAGAAATATGTGCATCCTCACTATAATGTAGTAAACTTTTTCTTGAGAGTTAAAAATCCAGGAGTATCAGTAAAGCTCTCAGAGATAATGACAGCATAACATGGCTATATAAAGGAAAGAACATAACATTTATAAAATTTTCCATTATATTAATTTAGCTAAATAGTAGTCTTAGTGTTTATATTGTCTGCAGGCAGTACTCAAAATATGGTAGCATTTCTACTTAAGCTTTGTGACAGTTTATGATTGATTATTTTCATTTCAACTATTGATATTTAATTACCAGTCATGAATCTTATTTACTAATGTCTCTTTTCTTGAAAAAGATTTCAAGTTGAGCAATGAGCTTCTATTCAGAATCAGGTATCGGCGAAATGCTCAAATCAAGCAAGGAAAGAAAGGCATTCTGAAACATGGTCTATAAAAGTACTTCATAAAGAGAATAGTGGAAATCTTGCCTACTAAGTTAGAAATCTTGTTGTGGGCAGTGTACAATGGAACAACCTGGTGGAAAATTGTTATACAGTATATTTACCTGCATTTGCACAAAGAACCTAAGTCATGGGTTGCTTAACTGTAGTTTACTTAATAGTAAAATAATGGCTTCTGTAAAATATCTGCATAGGTAAAGGGGTTAGGCAATAAAACATTCTATCATTATAACCCCAGTCAAAAATGTTGAAGAAATAGGGGATTTGTTCTTATACATTTTGTAAAGTTAATTGATTTCATGAAGATACTCTGAGAGTCTTATCTTAGATCAGTGATGGCGAACCTTTTAGAGACCAAGTGCCCAAAAACTGGCCCCGCCCCCGCTCCACCCCCCTGTTGCGCCCCCACTCTGCCCCCTCATCCCCCACCCCACCTGCCCATAGGACCACTCACCGCCTCCAGGGCCCGCCGCAGATCGCCCAGGCAACCCAGCAGCGCTATAGCGGCCACACCCTCTGCCCGTGCCCTGCAGCATCAACTGCATGATGCGATGTGAGAGCAGAGTCTTGTCTACGCTGCCTGGCTGCCATGTCCTTGGCTGCACTGCTCCATGTGGGCCATGCTTGAGGGCGACTCTCCTTCAGGGGGGCTGCTGGAGAGGAGGGGGTCGTGGGGGGAGGCAAGGCTGGGGCAACGGCACGTGTGCCCACAGAGAGGGCTCCGAGTGCCGCCTCTGGCACCCGTGCCATAGGTTCGCCACCACTGTCTTAGATGTTTGTTTGTTTATTTGTTAAATAGATTTCTATGGCTGCCCAACTCACACATGGTGATTCTGAACAGCATTAAGAAAGGAATAATTCATACACTGTGTGCAGTGCTGAATTGAATGTTCCTAGTGGACTTTCTTTGTCACATTGAGGGAGTTACCATGATGCCAATATTGTAGAGAGGTAGCATGATCATATGTTGCTTTTGAAGGAATATTTATGGGACAGAATTGGTAAAATACCAAGAAGGATGATCGTATATGTAGAAGCAAACTTATAAATACAATAAGTGTAACTTGTCATTATTATATTTGAACATCTCACTTTGTGTGTTCCTTTAATTATGAATTTTTCTTGACTCTTTTCTTAAACTGAAGGGGTTTTTTTTTAAAAAAACCCAAAAACTAATCCACAAAGAAAAACATGTAAAGAAAAACATGATAGGAGCAAAGAAGCAGGTCTATAATGAAATGATGATAATATTTGATATCACTGGTTATTTTTTGTCTAATTACATTCTATTTTTGAATCTAAAATTTCAATAGAATGGCAACATCTTACAGCAATTTTAATCTTTTCTGTCTTTGAGCAGCTCAGATATCACTATATAAACATTATTACTGTCAGCTATATAAAATGTATTTCCCTTTTCATCACATATTTTAATATGGAGATAGCAGTTTTTCAAAGAAATAGACTAGAATGAGAACAATGTGACATTAGGTCCCTTTGTGCTTATATGGATCCAAATAATTTATTGCAAAACACTGCTGATATGTATGTTGGATTCATATAAAAATTGTAGATTCCTAGTGCTGTACTTCGTAGTATAAACTATTATTTAGTCATTAAGATTATTGTATTGTAAGTATATTTGTTTCTTTTATCATTGTTTCATTATGATTTAATAGTATGTCCCCTGGATAATCCAATTTTACATAATTATTTAGGTGGGGAATCATGAGCTATTCACTCAGAAGAAATGAGAACTAATTTTCTTTCATGATATTTTTAAACAGTGGCACATTTAGCACATTTGAAATACGAAGCTGTTTATTGTTATTCATGTGTTTTTTATATATATATATTTCCGCAAGGTATGCAAACAGCATTTTGTGTAATCATGGAATTTCACATGGTAATCCGCTATAAATTATTTAAAGTTAGGTTGTCTAACATCAGTCTTGTTCTAGTTTCAATACTATACATGCTTGTTTGGAAATAAGCCCCATTGGGAAAGCTTCTGAATATTGCTGAGGTGTAATACACATTTCCATTCAACTAAACTCTTTTTTTCTCCTCTTAAAGAATAAAGGATCACTTCAGTTTGAAGACAAATGGGATTTTATGCGCCCAATTGTTCTGAAGCTTTTACGCCAAGAATCTGTTACTAAACAACAATGGTTTGATCTATTTTCGTAAGTAACTTCTGAAATGTCTATTTCTTGGAATAGAAAAATATTTATTTTTTGTTCTGCAGTGTCTTATCAGAGCAATTGTTCAAAGGAAGACTCTGTGATAGATTTCTCACGGGAATTTGTTTTAAATACTTCTGTGCTGACTGTTAAGGGCTGTTGAAGATCTTACATTTATAACCAAAGCAATCATGTACTAAAAGGGATAATCTAAGAAAAAAAGACAGCCTATTAACATATAGGACATTAACTTTTGTATCTTTAGCTTCAATTGTCATAAAAGCTATGCTTGGGTTTTTATCTGCAAATGAAAAATATGAGAATCTGATTACTTCTTTAATTGACCATTCAAGCATTAATAGTGAATTTACATATTTATTTATTCTAATATGTGTGTTAAATTTCAGGAAGATAATATTGTTTTCTCCTTTCCCCCACCTCTAGTTATGATCAACATAGTATTGTTGGCATTTCATTTAGTTAGGTTTTTGGGATTGTGCATTTTTGATGCACACAAGCAAGCAATTTATTATACAACATGTAAAATAAATTCAGAAGTTATTTTAACTTGATTTGAATGTGCATGTTTTCTAGAGATGTCCATGGAGTTTGTCTGTGGGATGATAAAGGCCCAGCAAAAATACATCAGGCTTTGAAAGAAGATATCCTTGATTTTATTAAGCAAGCACAAGCGGTAAGTTAAACATAATTAGCAAGTATTTTTAACAATATATATTTTTTTAGATTTTACATCCACATTTAAGAACTCAAACACATTCAGATGCCTCTTGATAGGATACTGTGTATTATGCACAAAAATACTCAGTACTGTAACAAGTACAACTATAGTTTGGACTCAAACCAAATTAGTCACTGTAAAATCAGTATAGATGTTTGTCTTGATTAATCTGGGCTCAATTAAAATAACAGGAGTTAGATATGGATAGTTTAGTCTGTATATATTTCATATATATCAATATCAAATTATACTGCTATCACCCTATACATGTTTGCTTGAGTTTAAGTCTCCAAAATACAATTAAGACTAACCTCTGAACTGAACATTCTGATTGTGCTATATGAGTGTTTTGCCTGGGAAATTGTGTGCCTCTATTTTCTAAATAACTCTTGATAATGCTTCTATGTCAATAACATCTCATTTTAAAACTCAAATATTACAGAACCACATTTTTATATTGTTTCTTCTTCATTTATATTCAGCAGCTCATTACACATTTTGATACCCCTCCTCAGTTCATTTATGTTACCTGTTTAGAAAGCAGTCTGTGAAAACATTAAATGCATGCATTTTGATTGGTTAAAACTATAATTTTCTATTCAGATGCACTGGGACTAAATACAGCTAAGCATCAAAAATTCTCAGAACATACTTCCAAGTAAGCATGCCTACTATCGTGCCATTCACAGTTTTGAATACTTTTCAGATTATTGCTTCAGTGGCTTGATAACTTCTAAGACTTAGACATAAAAAGCTGGCATCTTAAGCTCTCTTTCATCTTCTTGATATTTTTTTTTAGTAATTGTTTCCTTAATTTCAGGCACATTTTCTAAAAATATATGTCATATTAATATGTTTGTGTGTGTGTGTGTGTGTGTGTGTGTGTGTGTGTGTGTCTGTCTGTGTGTTACACACACACATGATGAAGTTAAACCTCAATATCCAAAATGAAATGGGTGGGTGGGGGGGTGTAATGTCTATTTGTTCACAAAGTGGAAATTCTTTTTAAATGTATTTATATTTGCCCTTCTCTTGCTTTCAGAGAGTGCTGAGCCACCAAGATGATACTGCATTACTGAAAGCCTATATTGTAGAATGGCGTAAATTCTTCACACAATGTGATATCTTACCCAAGCCATTTTGTCAGTTAGAGATTACTCTCATGGGTAAACAAGGCAGCAATAAAAAATCCAATGTAGAAGACAGTATTGTACGGAAGGTAAGTGCTGGGTTTCGTTGTAGCCTTGTTTTATGATGAAGCAGAAAAATGAAATGCTGTACCCCTCAGTCAGTAGGGGGAACTGATGAGATAGGACTAAAGAATATGCAGGGTTTGATTCATCCAGAATTCTTCATGCAGATTTTTTTTTTAAAAAAAAGAAAAAGTAAATAGTAGGAGATGGGAAAAGTTAAGTCAGATGTAACAACCCTGAGGTTGCTGCTGTTGGCTGACATAAAGACTGTGACTTATTTTTAGTGCTTTTGAATTTTATCTGTGGCAAGGACAAATTACAAACAACGAGAGTCTTCACCTCCAGGGTAACTAAATACTAATTGTGCCCTCTGCTTATAAATGCAGACTCAATTTTGAATCTTCTGAGGAAGACTTATACATAACTTGAATGCACATTGTTTTCTGCCATTTTGATTAATTCCAGTAATAGTATTATTCAGCTATAGCAGTTATTTTCTGAAGAGTCCAGATAGCTCTAGTGATACTGCCATCTTTTAAAGTGTGGTCACACTGATTACCATTCTACTTTCCACTGTCAAACATCGTTATTATTTCAGCATATATTATAGGTAGTATTGAATATTTATTTTGTATGCTTGTTTGCATGTGCTTATGAGTGATACATACATACAAGTTGGTGACTGATAAAAATATATTGTAACGAAACATAAAGAATGAGGAAAAACCTTTGGTAGAAAGGTCTTTATGTAGTTTTACGCTGAGTTTCTTAAAATACATTTTTAGTACCAGACTATTTTAATCATCAAGATAAACATTACTGTAATATGCTGATGTCAATATTTGTTACTGGTTGAGAGATAATCAAATTTATTTTAAATCTGCCAGATTTAAATCTAAAAATAAAATAAAAGTTATGTTTTGTGTTTTAGAAATTGGTCCATCATGTTTGCTGTTTAATTATTATTGTATTTTTAGCTCATGCTAGATACCTGGAATGAGTCCATATTTTCAAACATAAAAACCCGCCTTCAAGACAGTGCAATGAAGTTGGTCCATGCTGAACGTTTAGGAGAAGCATTTGACTCTCAACTTGTCATTGGTGTTAGAGAATCTTATGGTATGTCTTGTTATGTAAGATATTATTACATTGTATATGAATATTATTGTAGCATTCTTCTGGTAGGCTTTCACTAGTAAAAAGATTGCTGACAAGTATACTTAACAGGAGAATAAGTATCTTTAATTTTATTAGAAATGCTTAGGAGTAATACATATGTACAAACATACATATATATGTGTGACTGTGCATAATGATTTAAGTCATTGCAATAAAAACTTCAGTAAATTCTTAAATTTCTTAAAACTGCCATGCCAAGTTAGAACTTTAAGTCTCCATGTAAGTTTAAATGACCAGGAAACTGCAAGGTTTTTCACATGCTTCAACTTTGTCTTTTCTCATCTGGTAAATAAGGATTTACATCAAACACTTCAGTGGAAAATTTTTAAAAATTACCACATTATTGCTTTTTGCATAGGAAAAAAGTTACAAAATGGATGTAAAAATAAATCAAAACCCATGGTCTAGGAATACGAATTAATTTAAGATAGTAGTTATGAATGTAATGTAGTCAGTCCAAAAACCTTCAGTTTACCTTCTGACTTTAAAACATCAAGAACAGCCTCTCCAAAATAGATTTTATTATTTCACAAATTGCTTGAGAGCCATTTTGACAAGTAGTAATTTTATATTCAAATTATTGTAGTTTATACCACTCCTATTGTCATTGTCTTAAGAAGATTAAGTATATTTCTTACAGTCATAAGAATTGACTTAGCAATTACTTTAATTTGATATTTCTTGTTACAGTTAATCTGTGTTCCAATCCTGATGATAAACTCCAGATTTATCGGGATAATTTTGAAAAAGCATACCTAGATTCAACAGAGAGATTTTACAGAACTCAAGCCCCTTCGTATTTGCAGCAAAATGGTGTACAGAATTATATGAAATATGTAAGTGAGAAGGTGTTCTTTTGAAGAAGTCTGTTGGTTAAATATTAATATTTTAAGATATGATGTTCTGTTTCTGCACAGGCAGATGCTAAATTAAAAGAAGAAGAAAAAAGAGCACTACGGTATTTAGAAACAAGGCGTGAATGTAACTCTGTAGAAGCAGTAAGTACTCTTAATAATACCAAGAATTAATATGCTAAAAGGTTTAGAATATTACACTATTTATATAAATCTGAAATTATTCAACCTTCTTTTTTTAAATATCTGATTGCATTAACATAGTAACATATATTGTATGCAATTAAAAGCAGAAATTCTATAAGGTCAGAGATAATTCTCTGTTGCAGAAGTTGACACAAGATAACTATTGCTATTTCCAAGTAGATTTTTCTGTTTCTGAAAATGTAAACATATAGTTGCTGTTTCATAACCATGAGCAAATTTGTGTTTGTGGTTCTTTGTTGAAAAGTAACCTTGTTCTTTTAAGAAAACAATGCTATGCATTGATTGATTTGTAAATTTGAAAAAGTGTGACAATCATAATAAAGACTTATATACTACTAGTAAAATAATCAACTTGCACTGATAATTGTTACCTAGTTGGGTAATGAACCATCTGCAAGCAAAAAACCAAGAGCACTTAGTGCAAGTAAGAATACTGTGGTATACTAAAGACTTTTATACATGCATTTTGGAATATGGTATCCTCTCCCAGCATGGTGCATTCTAGGACATACGGGATATTAAATATATTAGGAAACTACCTGTCTTGGAAAAATCAGAAAGTATATTGTTCTGCTTGCTTGATCTGCTGACTTAGATACCAGAATTTTGATGCCACTTGTGTTGTCTTGCCAGCTAAGGCTTTCATAGTCTCCTTCAGATCTTGGAAACTTAAGAATCACTATTTTATTTACCTATGCAGATATGTTATTAATAGTATTTTAATACTTCTCCATGGTCCTTGCCATTTTCCTCTTTAGATATGGTATACATCTTGGGTGGGAGAGGTTAGACTCATTGTTTTGTAGTACAGCATGAATTTTCCCATTCCATGCAAATGTATTGAAACAATAGTATTCTGTGTACATTTGACCATTAACTTTTTTTTTTCAGCTCATGGAGTGCTGTGTGAATGCTTTGGTGACCTCCTTTAAAGAGACAATTTTAGCTGAATGCCAAGGCATGATCAAACGCAATGAAACGGAAAGTAAGTGAAGCTTGAAAGTAAGAGAAATGTGTTCCCTATAGATAGTTGGAGTAAAAATGGATTACTATTCTTTTGTTATAAGAGACATAAGGAAAATACTACAGTACACTTAAAAGTTATTCTCTGCCCTATAACATTTTAGGTTACATATGTTAATTTATAATGCAGTGCTATTTTCATTTTTGTCATTACTTATAATCTGCCCTTCTTCGAAGATGTTAGAACAGTTGATCTTTAAAATTGGTAGGTAAAATAGACAGGTCTGGTCTTATTAATGAAATAAGGATTCAGTTGACTTGTTCCTAGTCCAAATCATCTCTTGTATCACATATATCCATTTAATGCAATTCTTGTCCAGTCTTGTTCTTGAACATGAGTTAATCTAGTAACATCTGGGAACACAATTCCCTTCTATACTCTTTATACTACTCTATTATATATTTTCTCTCTTTATTTAAATATATTGGTTTCCTATCTTGAGCACACGGTAGATCCAGTGGCCTAAATGGCCTCTTCCAACTCTATAATTTTAATCAGCCTTTCAGGATTACAAAGAATTTGCTGTTTAAGCCCTAGGAATCCTATTAAGCTATGCATCTTTTTGTCCAAGGCTTGTCTTGAGGCTGTTTTCACTATATTAGTTTCCTTTTTTTAAAGAGAGTGAACCAACTATGAAATTTGGGAAAAGTGAATTAGAGAAACCAGATGTTTATGTTACAGTTCATAAATATACCCTATGATTACACAATGCATTCTAGGTAATAAGAAAATTGAAAGCTGTTCCTGATTTGAAACAGTTACTATTAGTTCAAAGTGCATTTCTAGTTTCCAGAGTGTAAGCATCTGACCTTAAAAATAAGTCTGGCTCCCTATCCTGACAGCAGTTGTTTGGCATTCATCCAGGGCTGAATATAGTAAGATATTATACCTTATGTAAATATATTGCTTTCAGCTCTCAAGGGGAATGAAATTTTATGGAAAGTGGCAACAAATTCAGCTGGGTGACCCAAATAGTCTTCATTGCATAGCTTTATAAAAGGCAACGTGACGTTGGTGCATAAAGCAGCATTTCCCACATAGTGTCTTCTCTCTCTGAAGCTTGTCTTGAATAGTAAGCCATTAAACATTCCTGTGAAGGTAATTGGATATAATAAACAGGGCTGTGCAAAGCAGTTGCACTAATGCTTTTCAGAGCAGTCTTTGAAGCATTAAAGCAGCCATATTCTTTGGAAGGCTCATGTACCTGCTTTGAAAGCTGTTTGTTCTGTCTGCATGTGTAGCTCTAACAACAAAGCATCTCATGTGAATGCACAAACTGCCAGGACAGACTTTGAAGCAGCTTGGAGAGGGTCTAATAATCCATTCTTTAAAATTCTTTGCATAGCCCCAAATTATAAGCATTATGTCTGCTTCCTAATCCAAACGGTTTAATCATGATTTGTCTTACATTTACCTAGCATAAATACATAATAATGATCTGCCACAAATTTGTTGAAAAAGCCAGCTCTTTGATATCTTCCTGTGAAGGACTTTTTTAGGATGGGCCAGCAGCTGTGTTTCTGGTTGCTGTCACTGACTCTCATACTAATTATTATATTGTTGGAATTAAACTGATTTATCCTTGAGAAACAATGCTGACTCCCAGTTTAATTATTTGTACTAAATCTTCGGGTGACTATATAGTTTTCTTGGTACAGAAGTAGTTTGCTACTGTGTTTTTCTGGGCTTATTGCCTCCTTTCCCAAATATTAACTAGAACTGATTTTGCTTAGCTTTTCAACGTAAATCAAGGTGAGATTGGTACTACCAGTCAGGGCAATTCTCTGTTAATCAGAAAAAAAACCAGAAGTTAAACTTTTGAATTTAATTTCAAACCTGCAAAGTAATTTTCCTTCTTCTTAGCCCCCTTTCTGTAAATTCTCTTTACAAAGATTAAGTATAGTATTTTCAGCAAATAACATATCCCATTATATTTTATTATTGCATAAGGCTTTGAGGATCAAAGTCTGCTTTCCTAGGTGCCTGGAATATATTCCTGAAAAATGGATATACATTCAATTATGTTGAATTGATTATTACAGAGATGGTGTTTAATAAGAAACCTTGGTCTTCTTAATTCCTGAAAAAATGAGTTATGTCTGCTAAGCAGTCCATTTCTCAGAAATTAGCCGAATACCAAATTTTGTTAGCATGTAATACAAGAATGTCTATATCACTTCTAACCCCTGTTAATGATCACTATCTCTTTGCCGTTTTGATTCCTTTTATAATTTCTCGCCTTCCATTTACTATTTGTGTTCATGTGAGTGCATTTGTATTATTTCTTCAGGCCTATATTCAGATGAATGTAATTTATAAATCTTGATAAAGTAACAAATTACAAGTGTCATTAAAATGCTAGAAGACAGAGTAAAATAGTCCTTGAGAAACTGGAATTTCTTAATATATATATGTAATGACTAGTTTCTAAGGATTGTGGTTTGTATTGTTTTATATGTATTGCAGTAATGAAAGTGTTATGCTGGGAGGGGGGAGAGGAAATTGGTTCAAGGACAAGAGCATGATTTTCAAACCAAGCTCTGAGTTTGGTAGTCAGGAATTTCAGGAACCAGAAGCTTGTAACAAGCTTGTTATTTAATTTCAAATCAGACTTCCTAGAATTTCTTTCAGTAGTTTGTCAAGCTCATTAGAAAGTTAGGATAACATGAAATTAACATTCTTAAAAGAGAAACTATTCTTTAAGTCAAATTCATTGCTAGGAACTTTTTATATAGAATTTTTGTCAACAGTGAACACCTTTACAAATCTCCTTGAATTGCTCATATTTGACAGTAAACCAGAGTAATATATAAAGAAAAGATAAATGGACAGATGAATTATTACTATGAATTGACCTGTGACTCTTCAATATGTTTTGTCTTCAGAATTACATTTAATGTTTTCCTTGATGGATAAAGTTCCTAATGGAATAGAGCCTATGTTAAAAGATTTAGAAGAGCATATTGTTAATGCTGGATTAGCAGATATGGTGGCAGCTGCTGAAACTATTACTACTGTAAGTGAGCATTTTCTATTTTTATCCCTTATCTCCTCTTAGAATGTTTGCTAGAAATACCAAGAATGTTTGGCAAAATAAAATCTTATATTGCTGAAATTAATATGAAAAAATGAATGTTAAGGTCCACTAAATTAAGTAGTAAAGTACTACAACTTCTTTAAAAATTAGAATGCAAAATCATAAAGGACTCTTCATTCATAGTTTGGAAGCTAGACTATCTGAACGAGACACTCTGGCTTTTACCTCATACTGGAAAGCAGTATTTTATTTCTCTAGCTTGTTCTGAGAGCAACAAGCAAGAATCCTGGCTTTGAAACATTTTGTTCTATTTGTGATTTTTTAAACTATCACTTGAAAGCATCCTTGCTTGCAGAAGTAGCCAAGCTAACAATTGGAACATAGTCATTGAAGTGAAGATTGGACGTAATGTAATGCCTTACAGTGCTCTCCGTTCCTTTGCTTAGATATTCCTACTGTGAAGCCAGTCAGTTGGCAGCTTCATCCAGTGATTCAACCAACATCAGAGTGTTGCCATCCATAAAGAGGGAGCAACCTAGTGAATTTTTTACTGTTTGTTCTTATAAAACAATTATTATATCTGAATTAGCTGCCGAAATAGAACATCAGATAGCTGAAATAGATAAATGTGGATTTATCTAATCAGGATATGAATCAGGACTTTCCTCCAAGAAATATATTTTTGTGGCAACTTCTTATGATTTTTTTCTATTGATTAAAAGAGACAGGTCAGAAAGCCAATGAAGTAATCTAAGACCATTTATTCTATGTATCAAGACTAAACATTTTTATTTTTAATTTGCCATCATAGTGGCTTTATTCTGACAGAGCTGTTTAGCCAGAAATCTTCGCAGCTAGTGCAGCTAATTTAATGAAATTAAAATAAAAGTCTTCTGTGCTTCTCTCTATCCCCACAAATTTTGCTTAACAACAAGAGTCAACAAAAACTCTTTTAATGCTATCGTGGTACCTTATAACATCCTATGACTTTTAAATATGTTTGGGTGTTCTGTTCTAAATCTGAATATGTGACAATTTGAATTGGGTAATCTGGTAGAGCAGTGATGGCGAACCTTTTAGAGACCGAGTGCCCAAACTGCAACCAAAAACCCACTTATGTATTGTCGGGTGCCAATTGGGCGTGGCCCATTGGGTGGGTGTGGCCAGTTGGGTGAGCGTGGCCCATATGGTGGGTATGGCTGCGGTGGTAACAGACTGGGTGGGACTAAAAAGTTCAATCAATCAATTCCAACTTTGCGAGATCTTTTTTCCCCACGAGAAGTTAAAATTGATTGATTGATTGAACCTTTTTTTTTTTGCACATGGCGGTGAAGGCCTAAAGCGAAAAGGTTTTATAAAACCCAGCTGAAGGCCTAGGACTGGGGCGATGGCGCGTATACCCACAGAGAGGTCTCTGTGGGCCACCTGTGGCACGTGTGCCATAGTGGTAGAGTAATCCTGGTTCATGCTGATGGCATGTGGAATCATGGTTAATGAAAACAAGTTGAAAACAAGTGGGAGAATGTCCCTATTGAGTTGGCAGCTAGTAACTTTTCTGTGATTTTCTGGAATATAAACTACACCACAAGAAGAGCATGTGAAAGCAGGTGAAAGAGGGAAGGAGTGGAAGGGAGGGAGATTTCAGTTGATTATGATTGTTTGCTATTTTTTTTCTCACAGGTTTGGTATTTTATTCTTTGTTTTGGTTTTCAATTTTAGGATTCCGAAAAATATGTAGAACAATTGCTTACACTGTTTAATAGATTTAGCAAATTAGTTAAAGAAGCTTTTCAAGATGACCCAAGATTTCTTACTGCCAGAGATAAAGTAAGTTACCAGTTGGTTTTTGTTTCTTTTTTTGATAATACGTGTTTATGTGCATTTGGTTTTTTAAAAGTGACATACAAATATTTTAAATAAGCAGTAGTCAAGTTGTTTATGAAAGTCGTGTCATGCTAGTAAATTACTAGAAATTGGGCTTTCTGTAGAGATTTGAGTGTTAAGATAACTGCAAGATTTTATTTATATATTTGCATTGCTGTACTTATAATCTTGCTTTAATAATAAGATTCATCAGTATCTTCATGAAAATCATTATTAATTAGAGAGTTCTCAAATAATCACAGGGTAGAACTAAAAATCATAGCACTTCAAATTTCACAAATATGAGCAAATGCCTCCAGTATGACATACCGTAATACCCTACACTTGGAAGCAGTGGTGGGATTCAGATATGTGAACAACCGGTTCTCTGTGTGGATGTCACTTTTGGAAGTCCATTCTGGGCCTGGGCAACAAAAAATTAGCTACCGGTTCTGCCAAAGTGGGGCGAACCAGCTGAATCCCATCACTGCCCGGAAATAACATTTTAAAAGATCTTGATAGGCTAGAGAAAATGTCTGAAAATAATAATGAAATGTAATGCTTCCTAATCTGGCAACAGTACTTACAAAAATTATTTTGGAATATTAGTTGATTACAAACTAAATAAAAGTAGAGATACCTTCCAAGGATAAGACATGGCCAACCTTCCCCCAGCTGGGAAGTTAAGTAGAAACAGACCTTGTTAGTACGTGGATGAGACACCATTAGGGAGTCCCACTGAGACATTTTTGCTAGGGATCACAGAAATAATAGTTGTATTTTATACTTTACTCTATTTCACCTGGAAGATCTAGAAATATAAACAGATTCCAGCAGAATAACAAGATACAAAAAAATATCTGAACTTGTGGGCTAATTTGGTGTAGGCTTACATCCATGTCCCCTTCCTTTCTTCTGTATACTTTCCCCCTTTCTCATGAGCAAAGGTTTNGCAGTAACCTTCAAACTTCCCCCAAAAGTTGTGAATCTTAGGGACATTTTCTGTGCTTTGCCTATTTTCCCAATGTGATATGGGAATTTTGTTCTTAAGAAGAGTGATTGTTTTAAAATTACATATTTTTGTTTTTAAGAATGTACTTTGGTATGGAAAAAGTAAATTGAATGCCTTATTTTTATTTTAGGCATATAAAGCAGTTGTTAATGATGCTACAATATTTAAACTTGAACTACCATTGAAACAGAAGGGGTAAGTAATCTGACTGAGTACTTGATAATAACAGAATTTAATTTTTGTTTATATTTTGAGTGAATAGTATTTTTCTTGTTTTCTGTAATGCTTAAATATATTTATTTTTAATCTGGGCAATCTCCAGACTTTGAAATAAAGTGCACAGAAGCATGCACATAGTACTAAACCTTAGATACCACTGTTGAATAGGCATACATATCTACAACCAAAATCCATTATTCTAGTTTAATGCCTCTCCAAACTCCATTAATGATAATGTTGGTGATAACTATTCATTTAAGATTGTTCAAAAAAGAAATGTTTCTAGATATTTTTGCTTATTCACTTGGAACTCTGATTGTGCTTTTGAAGCACATTAAATTGGCAATAGTATAGAAAATGTCTTGACAATTCTTTCAGGATTTTACAAAATTTTAAGTTTTCATTTCTCATGCATATTAAACTGCTTTTCTGTAGCTTCTCATATATATTTTATTTCTTTAATTATATGTAAAAATTAATATAGTCACTTTGAAATAAAAGAAATAAATGTAAAATGTGTAAAAATATTGATTGTTATTACATAAGGCATTTCCCCTTATTTGTTCATAAAAGTATGAGTTTATATAATGGCATAAAACCACATTGGTGATTCTGTATAACTTTTGGCTACTATTTTTTTTTCCTTAGTGTTGGATTGAAAACTCAGCCAGAGTCGAAGTGCCCAGAGTTACTTGCAAATTATTGTGATATGTTATTAAGAAAAACACCACTAAGCAAAAAATTAACCTCTGAAGAAATTGAAGCAAAACTTAAAGAAGTGGTATGTTCTTTTTCTGTTTCTATTTTTTTTTTATTTGAGAGAAACATATGTGAAGATTAGGTAATTTCTCCTCAATGCCTCAGGTTCTACTGAGTGTGTGATATTCCCCTAAGAAGTAACTTTATTTTTGTAATCTTCACTGGATTTAAATGAAACTTTCAATCCATTAGTTGTTGCCAAAGTTTAGTTCAAAAGTAAATTTCTAAAGAAGTAATATTTCCTTGTTCTTGATATTGTTAACATTCTGAGGAAAAGGGAGAGAGTAAGTCTACTATATCTAAAATTAAATTTTATCTTAGAATATTGCACGCTCCAGGTTAGAAAGATGCTTTAGCGAATGGCCATCTTTCAAAATTGCTTTTTTAGAGAAACTATTTCAACAGATTTTATTTAAAGCTATGTTTTTTTAAAAAATGTGATACAATAAAGTTTGTTATATTTGAATTTTTTGAAAATCAGATATCTTGATTTTTAATTAAAGGTGACTATCTGGTCTTAATAGGAGATTGGTACAATGAAATTAGTGGAGTTTCAGTATATTAACGTAAACTAATTTGCTCCTCAGAACGTTTCCTATCACTGATTAGTGATCACAATCCTTATTGGGGGAAAGGATTAGCAACTGTGTTTCATTTTGGGACTGTTCGTATTCAAACATTTTAAGCAGTGGATATTGTATATTGCCTTTTGAACACAAACATTTTTGCTATTTAAAATATCTTTGTGATCAAAAGACAGTAATATGGATGTATTATTGTAAATGAAGTGATTATATATTTTGTTCCATGGTGATCAAATATGTTGATACATATAGAAATTTTTGAAGGGTGGAGTTAATACAGGAATATATCATTCCTGATAAAATGTATTCTGGAAATGCTGTTCTGCAATAGGAGTAAATACTAATAGCAATTATAAAAATATGTCTAATGCTTTTTAAAACAGCTATTGGTACTCAAGTATGTACAGAACAAAGATGTTTTTATGAGATACCACAAAGCTCATTTAACAAGGCGTCTTATATTGGATATATCAGCAGACAGCGAAATAGAAGAGAACATGGTTGAATGGCTGCGAGTAAGTTTATCAATCCTGCTATCTACTCTTTTCTGTAGAAAGCATAGCTTTTAATTTAAAATCATACATACTATGAATTATTGAATTTTAAATTATCTATGGTCTAGTCTTTAGGTTAATGTTAGCAAGTAGTTTATTCAAAACATTTTAAAATAAGAATTGATCTTAGAACTTTGTATGTTAAGGTCCTAACAATGATTTAACAAAGATTTATATAGACAAAATAGCTTAGTTGGTCCGTGGTTTGAATCCAGTCTCTGTTGCTTTTCTCCGATGCATGAATGTAGTGAAGCACTAAATAATTTCTTTTCCAGTTTGGTACATTTTATGTGGGAAATGAATTGTTCTTATGTTAGTATGTGGATATTGCTAGTTGTAATACTTAACTCAGAGCTGTACAAAACCACGCAGAGGGGCTTTTTAATGGTTCAAGTGGCGGGACTGAAGGGACACTTCACTTGCTTTGCAAAGTGTTTTTTGCATGTTAACTAATAGTTAACTAAAAAGATCACTAGTAAGTATTTACTCTATTTAAATTATATAATTATTGATTCAATCCTCTCTCTATGCAGGAAGTAGGTATGCCAGCAGATTATGTAAATAAATTGGCAAGGATGTTTCAGGATATTAAGGTGTCTGAAGATCTTAACCAGGCCTTCAAGGAAATGCACAAAAATAATAAATTGGCCCTCCCAGGTACTTTTATACTTGTTTCTTTTTAAAATTCTCAGTGTTATAGAAATCCAATATTATTTATATTTGTTTATCCTGCTTTTTATCATTAACAAATCCAAATTGAATTAACTATAATACAAAATTGTGCATTCAGTTTCTTTGATTCTGTTCATATGGATGTTGGGTGGTTTTAGGGGTGGGGATTGTGATGGGGGGGAGTGTGTCTGGGGATTATGTGTGGATTATGTCTGGTTTTTGGGTGTCAAGTAAATTTCGTTGTATATGTATACTATGTACGCACATACAATGACAATAAATTTATTAAATTAAATATATCGATAGTTTTAGTGTTACTTGGCTGAGCTTTCTGTTTGTTTTGTGTACAGCTGATTCTGTGAATATTAAAATTTTAAATGCTGGGGCTTGGTCCAGAAGTTCTGAAAAAGTTTTTGTATCACTGCCAACGGAATTAGAAGACCTTATCCCTGAGGTTGAAGAGTTTTACAAAAAGAACCACAGTGGCAGGAAGCTTCATTGGCATCATTTAATGTCCAATGGAATTGTAAGCATGCATGCGTCACTTGCTTCCATTTTGTATTTCTGTTTGGTTTCGGCACACTGAACGTATGAGTGTATTTAAGCTTACTTGGTATTTTTTGGTCATTAACAGATAACTTTCAAGAATGAAGTTGGCCAGTATGACTTGGAGGTTACTACGTTTCAATTGGCTGTGCTTTTTGCATGGAATCAAAGACCCCGAGAAAAAATTAGCTTTGAAAACCTCAAACTAGCGACCGAACTTCCAGATGCTGAGCTTAGGAGAACTTTGTGGGTAAGTCTTCAGCTCTTCAATCATATTATAATAGTATTACAGGAACATGCATACTAATGTGGGAAACAAAGCACAAGTCTTAACCTTTTCTACCTTTTAAATAAAATCTATCTTTGAAATATGACTCATAGGAAGGAAAGATGGGAAGCTCATTATCTGTTATATAAATTATTGCATTCTTAAACTCAAATTTATAATTTACATTTTTCAAAGAAGCTACTATTTTGCTTGCTTCAGTTTGTTACTGCATGGCAATCGTGCTCAGAACTACTGCATTGCTCTAACGGGGCCTGACCAGAAAAGCAATATTAACTTCCTTTGACCTGAACTCGTATGATTCTGTTATGCAGTCATGTTTAAACTTTAAGAATACATGCACTTTCATTTTTCTATCTAAATGAAGAACTTTATATTTCTGCCTGTTAAATTCCATCCTGTACATTTAAGCCCATTGCACAAGCTTGGCTAGATGTTTTTTAATCTTTACTCTGTCTTCTAAAGCATTAGCCCTGCCCTCCAGCTTTACATTGTCTATAAAAATGTTAGCCCAAGGCCCAGAACAGAACTCTCTAGTATTTTGCTCAAAGCTTCCCTCCAAGCTGAAGTTAATAAACATTCCTGGCATGGAATTATTCAGTCAGTCATATGTCCATGTAAAATAGTGTCATCTAGCCATTGGTTTGACAATTGCCGCCTTCCTAGGATGGAGAGAGAATGACTGGTTCAAGATCATCCAGCTGGCTTTGTAGCTAAAACAGGTCTAGAACTCATGGTCTCTTGCCTGGTGCTTTATCCACTACACCAAACTGGCACTCAGCCCAAACTACCATTTCTGTGTTGTTACTTTCTGGTTGCTTATGTAGAAGCAATTGACAAATCCTTAAAAAAAAAAAAAACCTGAATACAGTGTGTGCTGTTTTATTGCATTAGACTGTCTAAAGTACAAAAGAGTGCAAAACCTAATCTAGTATCATATCTTTAAAAGACTGCATGAGTAATTTAATGTAACAATCTTTTTAAAGCATATTTAACAAGCTGATAAATATTTGAAACGTCCTACCAAAATGCTTTTAAAGTATCTATTTTAATTAGCATATTCTCTAAATTCTTGAACAGTAGTTTTCCATATATTTTTCACTATATTTTTTCTCTAGATGTATCTGGAATTGAAATGGGATCTTTTGAATAAATAAAATATATATTTTGCCTTATTTAACATTTCTTTGCATTCTTATTCTTTAAAAAGCACTGACTATTGCACTGATTCTGCATTCAGTTCAGATAGGTTATTCAGAATAATTTTCTTAAAGCTTGGATAAATGCATCTGTCACAAAATAGTTTCCCTAAAGTGTTTTTCATTTATATGTGAATAAAATAATATTTTGCTGATTCATTGCAATAATTAAATTATAGAACAAATATAAGATGCTGCATTTATTCATATTCATATTGATAGACCAATATTGCTTTCATATCAGTTATAGCTTTGTGAAATATATTTCAAGAAATTATATGTTTTGTTATGTCTTTTTTGCATTTTTACATTTGTATTTTTGATAAGTAGTCTAAATTGGCTTGCTGATATGAGGTTATTATCAGGTTACATTTCAGAATGATCAAATGTAATAATATGTAAGGCTTTTCTTTAACATCTAATTAAGATAACTAAAATTAGTAGCTTTTGCTTATGAAATTAAAAGAATTTTGTCAATGAAGGCATGACAAAGTAACAATAGTTTCTCTATATTTGATCTGATTTTCATGGCCTTTCTCTCTCTCTCTCTCTCTCTCTCTCTCTCTCTCTCTCTCTCTCTCTCTCTCTCTCTTTCTTTCTCCTAATTTACAGTCTCTTGTAGCATTTCCGAAGTTGAAACGTCAGGTTTTGCTGTATGAACCTCAAGTCAATTCACCCAAAGACTTTACAGAGGGAACTCTCTTCTCAGTGAACCAGGAGTTCAGCTTAATGTAAGAAGTGATAACTGGCTTACTCCCAAATGTTTTATAGATACCCAAAGATAACTTAATATTTAATGGTTCAACTGCTCTTAAAGTTGGATTTTGAGATAATATCATATTAGAATTAAACTACATTTTTTTACAGTTTGAAATTGTAAGAGTTAAATACTTTGCTATATCTGTATTCAGCTTTAGAAATACATATCTTTCCTTTCCTGAATTTTTAGTTTGTTAAAACAATTATATTGACTGGAGATTGGAATTTAAATATTTTTTGAATTGTTTTAAATCAAACAAGCAGATTTAAATTCTTTACAAGTTTTATTGAAATAAATTGCAACTATTTTCATTTATATAGTTCTTGCTATTGAAGGATCTTTGCAAACACATTTCTTTAGTAAAATGACTGAACATCTGTAAAGCAGAACTGTAAAACATATGGTTGCATAGTGTAAGTAACTCCATCTCCCTTGTAGTCATCACTTAAGTACTCCAATAATGCACTAAGTATTATCCTGTGGATTGCCTTCCCTGGACCATAATCTTCTGCTTCTGAGAAAGTTATTCTTAGCCTGCTAGAATTTTTAAAGTAGTACTGTAGATAAAAATTATTTGTGATTGCAACTGGTCACAATTGCAAGCTGGTTGTCAAGCACTTGAATTGTGTTCCTATGACTGCAGGGCTGCTGCAATGGCCAGAACTTTGAGGAAAAGTTATAAATCCCTTGGTTCAGTGCCATCATAACTTCAGACAGTCTCTGTATGGATTATCGTTAACATATGAATGCCCAAAGAGATGAAATACTGTGCACAGTATAGTTTATATTAAATGACCATTCATGTAGCAGTAGTGGATTTTTTTTTATGTTTCTAAAGTAGAATAGCAGGACTCCTGAGTTCAGTTTGAATTCTGAAATTACATGGGCATGCAGAATTCTTGGTAACAGTACAGAGCAATTCTTTTTGATACGTTATTACTTTTCAGTCTTTCTTTCCACTCTGATATTTTTTGATAGTCTCATATCCAAGTACTAACCTGGCTTGGCTCTCTTAACTTGCAAGTTAAATAGTAATACAGAGATTGTGCAGAGAAGAGGCAGGCTCAGTAAACAGGCTTAGTTGTTTCCATGCACATGTCACATTCTCTGCTGACACTAAGGACAATGTAGTCATTTGTGCAACCAAAATCATTTTGTTTGAAGTTTGCTCATAAATTGTTGCTTATACTGTCTTGAGGAGACAGCCTTGTGCCTAGTTAAAGATAGGCCAGATGGCATGGAATAATATAATTTAAGTACTAAGTACTAAATCCAGCAGTTCTCAACCTGAAGTTTATTTTTGTGATAAACTGTTTTTCAATTTTAGTTCTCTTTCATATATTCTATTGAGATTGTGTTATAACAAAAGTTTTGTAGGCAATATACAATATTTGCAATTAATTATAGCATTATGAAGAACACAGAATAATATGAGTAAAGCACTTTGAATAGTAAGCATTTGTAATATTGGTTATAGTATTAGAACACATTATTTTGTTAGTAAATATTAATTTTCTGTTGGTCTTCAGAGTGCTTTCAGCCATAATAATACGTATAAATATAAAACAGTTAAATCTTTGTAAGCAAAATATTAACAAATCATGAAAAAGCATTAATTATTCAAGTAAATGGAAAAACAGGATTGCTTTCCTAAAAATCATTGCAAATTGTATATGGATATAATTCTCAATGTCTCTATTCAGTTTCCATTTTCTGTAGTCCAATAGCTAGGTCTCTCAAATCTTCAAGAACTCCCCCCCATTAAGATTAACCTATATTTTTTTTTTTTTTTTTTTTTTTTAATTTAATTTGTATACCGCCCTTCTCCCGTAGGACTCAGGGCGGTTCACAGCATATTAAAAACACAAATACAATATACAAGATACAAAAAATCATACAAAAATACACAAAATAACCCCACTAAAACCTAATTAAAAGCCAAATATTGATTGCTGTATTCCCATTAAAATTACTTTTTAAAAACGTCCCTACCTAAAANTCTGAGAAAGTTATTCTTAGCCTGCTAGAATTTTTAAAGTAGTACTGTAGATAAAAATTATTTGTGATTGCAACTGGTCACAATTGCAAGCTGGTTGTCAAGCACTTGAATTGTGTTCCTATGACTGCAGGGCTGCTGCAATGGCCAGAACTTTGAGGAAAAGTTATAAATCCCTTGGTTCAGTGCCATCATAACTTCAAACAGTCTCTGTATGGATTATCGTTAACATATGAATGCCCAAAGAGATGAAATACTGTGCACAGTATAGTTTATATTAAATGACCATTCATGTAGCAGTAGTGGATTTTTTTTTATGTTTCTAAAGTAGAATAGCAGGACTCCTGAGTTCAGTTTGAATTCTGAAATTACATGGGCATGCAGAATTCTTGGTAACAATACAGAGCAATTCTTTTTGATACGTTAATACTTTTCAGTCTTTCTTTCCACTCTGGTATTTTTTGATAGTCTCATATCCAAGTACTAACCTGGCTTGGCTCTCTTAACTGCCAAGTTAAATAGTAATACAGAGATTGTGCAGAGAAGAGGCAGGCTCAGTAAACAGGCTTAGTTGTTTCCATGCACATGTCACATTCTCTGCTGACACTAAGGACAATGTAGTCATTTGTGCAACCAAAATCATTTTGTTTGAAGTTTGCTCATAAATTGTTGCTTATACTGTCTTGTGGAGACAGCCTTGTGCCTAGTTAGAGTTCTCACTAAAGATAGGCCAGATGGCATGGAATAATATAATTAAAGTACTAAGTACTAAATCCAGCAGTTCTCAACTTGAAGTTTATTTTTGTGATGAACTGTTTTTCAATTTTAGTTCTCTTTCATATATTCTATTGAGATTGTGTTGTAACAAAAGTTTTGTAGGCAATATGCAATATTTGCAATTAATTATAGCATTATGAAGAACACAGAATAATATGAGTAAAGCACTTTGAATAGTAAGCATTTGTAATATTGGTTATAGTATTAGAACACATTATTTTGTTAGTAAATATTAATTTTCTGTTGGTCTTCAGAGTGCTTTCAGCCATAATAATACGCATAAATATAAAACAGTTAAATCTTTGTAAGCAAAATATTAACAAATCATGAAAAAGCATTAATTATTCAAGTAAATGGAAAAACAGGATTGCTTTCCTAAAAATCATTGCAAATTGTATATGGATATAATTCTCAATGTCTCTATTCAGTTTCCATTTTCTGTAGTCCAATAGCTAGGTCTCTCAAATCTTCAAGAACTTCCCCCCATTAAGGTTAACCTATATGCGTTTATTCTTGTTTTTTTTAATTTTCCCTTTGGGTTGTTGTTTTTTTTCCCAGAAAAAATGCTAAAGTACAAAAAAGAGGTAAAATAAACCTTATTGGTAGATTGCAGTTAACAACAGAGAGAATGCGAGAAGAAGAGAATGAAGGGATAGTCCAGTTAAGAATATTACGAACCCAGGTATGTTAACTGTAGGTTGTTGCTTTGTGTAATTCTGGAACCTAAGAGATACAATATGCAATTACAGTATGCTGTTCAAAAAATGGTATTTTGATGCTTGACAGCCCCCCTCCCCCCTTCCTTCACAGTATATAAGTAGATGAAAAGTAGAATTGACACTATAGGCCAGGCATGTCAAACTCGTGATGTCGCACGACATATCACGACTTTTTCCTCATTGCCGGCAATGGGGTGGGCGCAGTTTCAGCATGACGCATCTGGCCCGTGGGCCGGCAGTTTGACATGCCTGCTATAGGCTGTGGACATTCATACAATAACTGTCTGACTTTGTCGTCAAGAAGGGCTCCACAAAGCAGGCAGGTGAAAAATAGTCTTTCTGCTAAGTTACAAGACATAAGCTGAAAACTGGCAACCTCAAGGAGCGAGTTTGCACAGATTTCACTATATACAGTGCAGGAAAGAAAGAGTGGCAAGAAATCCAGGTTGATCTTTTAGTACTTCCACTTAAAAGTTCTTAGTTGATGGGTTCAACAATGAAGATGCCAGAGAACCATTTTCAAGATGCATTGCATGTCAAAATTTTACCAAGTTCTAGCAAATGTGCTTCATGATTACTAGGCACATACTATATGGATGACATTATAAAGGCGTTACTAACAAGTGCCTATTATAGAATCTGGTGGGGGGGGGGAACAGAGTGTAAAATATAAAGAAATATAAATTTGTAAATTGAAAAAAACCTAAAATATAAGTTTCCTGGCTTTGAGGGGTATGTAGGTCTAGGAGAGGAATACATTGGCCATTTAGCAGATAGTCATTAGCCTGTAACCGGTAGCATTTAGTTGTGCAGTGCCATATTGATATTCTAGATCACTTTGTATGTTGCAAACTATAACTTAGTAAATGTTTGCCTTCAGGTCTCCAAATGACAACTCCTGAGTGCTCCACTTCTTTCTGCAACCCTTCTATCCCATTTTGCCCATATGTTGGATATAAATAATGCTATCCATACTTAACAGATTAACTAAACCGTCCCTCAGGTTGGCACCTTCTAGTTAAGATTGCAGCCACCAGAATTCCAAGACAACATGGCTTAGTGAGTGCCAGATTGAAGAAGGGTGTAAATGTAGAGGACAAGGAAAATGACCTTAACGGAAATACGCAGGCTGTGTTGCCTAATCCAAAGTGTTTACATGTATCTTTAACAAGGTCGATTCTTTATTTTCTGCATTGGAATAGCTAGTAAGACCAAACAAAAATTGTCTTCTATATTCGCTCACAAGAATCCAGTGTTATACGAGCAATAGACTTGTATGATGTAAGGTTGCATTTTCGGGTTATGCCATATCCATTTAGCTTTTTCCTGCATGTCTGATAACCATATTGCTAAAAAATAACCATATGCAACCAGGCTGGTAAGTATATATATATATATAAAGGGGTTCCTTTATCTAAGCTGGTCAGACTTTCCCAGTTACTAAAACAAACTATTCTAGTTTACAGAACACTAAGACAGTGAGCTAAACAGATGCTTGTGCAATTGTATATATCAGTGATGGCGAACCTTTTAGAGACTGAGTGCCCAAACTGCAACCCAAAATCCTCTTATGTATCGTCGAGTGCCGGGTGGGCGTGGCCCACTGGGTTGGTGTGGCCCCTTGGGTGGGTGTGGCCTATTGGGTGGGCATGGCTGCGGTGGAAACAGCAGACTGGGTGGGAATTAAAAAGTTCAATCAATCAATTCCAACTTTGCGAGATCTTTTTTTTTCCCTGCGAGAAGTTGAAATTGATTGATTGAACTTTTTTTTTGCACATGGTGGCTGAGGCCTAAAGTGAAAAGGTTTTATAAAACCCAGCTGAAGGCCTAGGACTGGGGCGAAGGCGCGCGTGCCCACAGAGAGGGCTCTGCGTGCCACCTGTGGCACGCATGCCATAGGTTCGCCACCAGAGGTATATATGGTATCTCTTTCAACTTGTTTGCTGGATCCATTTTGTTTATCTTGGACAAATACATTCAAAATGCAATTTTCCCTTTTTCTCCCCCTTCTTTAGGAGGCGATCATCCAAATAATGAAAATGCGGAAGAAAATTACTAATGCTCAGCTTCAGACTGAATTAGTAGAGATATTAAAAAATATGTTCTTGCCGCAGAAGAAAATGATAAAAGAGCAAATTGAATGGCTTATAGAACACAAATATATCAGAAGAGATGAATCTGATATCAATACGTTTATATACATGGCATAGCCTAAGGATTTACTGGAAAATGCCAAGAAATGTGCATTGGGAGTGGTTTGGGCAGAAAAAAAAATACAAGAAGACTGTGCTGTAAAAGGACTTGACCTGCATTACTTAAATTCCTGCCTTACCTTACCAGAGGACTTTATTTTGTCAGTCTCTCTCTCTTTTTTTCAGTTAGCATGATGGTGTTCCCCTCATCTTGTGCACATTTTTAACAGCATGGTGGTTTTGTGGGGAAACCACATTCATGGAGAGCCCATTGTGAGAATGTTAGGATTTGATTTGCACCTGGAAGATAACAAATCTGGGATTTTTATATTACAGAACTTGCACAAAGAAATTTTTTCAGATATTCATGCACTGAAAAACTTGTTAGTTTTCATTTTCACATAAAAAAGAGAGAAGCAAATAGATTAGATGTAGCACTTCATACTTTGTTTTTTGGAACAATTGCCTAAATATACTATCCTCCTTTTGATCTCTTCCCCATGTATAATATTTGAACAACACACAAATGTATCACATCTGTAGATACATATTTATCTGTTAGCTTAAACAAACGTTTCAGTATGAAAATTGGATTGGAATACTGGGATACTAGTAATCCTAACAGGATATATTACATATGTCACATAGTTTGCTTCAATCTCCCCCCCCCCTTTATTTTTTTAAATATTTACTTTATTCATGGAAAGATCTGTTCGTAGTGGAAAAATATTAAATGTATTTGTTTATACATTTAATACTGGCATTCACTATTTTAGTATGCTTGCAGAAATGTAATGCATTAAACATAACCAGTACACAGTTCCCTCAAAATAGTAACATTTTGACAATCCTTATATATACCTTTCATTATTTATTTGAAAATAACTAAACTTATGTTTTACATGTAATTACACTCTGGGGGGAAAAGTGGAAGAAGGCATTTTTTTTTTTGTCCAATTTGACCAGATGACAGATTGATCAATAGCATAGGCTGTTGACGTACTCTACCAACAACAGTTATACCATAGCCCCATAAGCTTAGTGGGATGTATCAAACCCACCACTAGTTGAAGGCCCTTTTCTCTTTTCCTTTAAAAGTGAAGAAACACATACTAAGGCTGTGAAAAAAAGTTTACTATATAGAGGGCAAAAAGAATACAGAATTTCAGATTAAAATAAATGCTAGTAAAGGACTCCAAGCTTGTAGCTTCTCCAAATGATTTCCTATTGTGCCATATTGCTAGCACCTCTTTGCAAAACCATGTTTGACATTTTAGCAATGCATATGAGTTTTCTTATCTTTCAGTTGTTACCTTGGACTATGGCTGATGATTGGTAGAAAAGTAAGATCCAGGCAAATGGATTTAGCAGGCTGTATTTTACATAACAGACAGTACCAGGAGTATAATCCAGTGGAAATGGATATCAGTTCAAGCTGTAAGATTTTCTTTTTCTGATTTCTCGACTGTACTCCCTTGTATACAATCTTCCCGAGTAAATTCTTAAGCGTCCCCTCCCCCAAATTGGAAACTGATCTTTGAATTCTGCCTCAAAACCTTGCACTGATGTACACATGCAGATTATAACTACCAACTGCAATGAATGTCCCAGGGCTAGGTTGAGAGAACCCTAACATGATACAGTGGAGAATTGCAGACATTCATGGTTAAGAAAAAAGTAAAAAAATGAAGACAGGGTGCTGACCTGAAGTTTCATCTTCTGTATTTATGTGCATTTTTTATTACTTGTAGAACAGAGATTAATATTTTTTAAAGTGTTCACTGCAAACTTAACATAGGATTGTTAAAATTTCAATTTGAAAATGTTGTGAATAAAAGTCAGAAAAAAGTTGTACATATTATCCAACATTCAATATATGTTAAAGGAAAGAGAAGTAAAATTGATTTACCAGAAGTCTTTTGTACATGCTACAGGATTTCTAAAACTCTGCATTTGATTTGGAAATAAAGTTAGAAATGGGTAGAAAAAGACAAACTTTTTTTAGAAAGTATGTACATATTTCTAAAATTCTTTGGTAGAGTCCATTTGACTTTGTTTCCTGTTACTTCGGCTATGAAGGGAGCAGGCATGCGGCATTGAATATCCAACGAGCCCTAAACCTCATATTTAATGATGTCCAAATGCTAGCAATCTGAATTCCAGAATGATTTCATTTCTTAGCAGGACAAGTCTTTTAAAAGTTAAATTTTGTGTCTGACTTCTAACTTCCTTTAGGCTTAATGAATAGCTCTTCAGAATTACCTCTCTCTGCACTTCCTTTTGCCTCTTGGAAACAGAGATAACATGCAGTGTAAGAGATCATTTTTTGAAGGGAAAATTGCTAGACACCCCAGGTATATATGGAATCATTTTAGGAATACTCATGTGCCTGGATGTTGCTAATGGAAGACTTGTCCTTATTTACATTTTAAAATTTTGAGTATTCCTGTCTCACCTTTTATACCCATCTCATTCATAATTTAAGTGGGTTTAAGGCCAGAAAATAGAATGAACAATACGCTATAAACATTGTTCAATACTTATGCACATTGGAATACATGCCATGTGAAACATGATTCAAAACGCACACCAGCAATTTTCTTACAGCTGCAGCATCACATTTAGCATTTCTGCTTGGACATTTTCAACAAGGCTAACTTTGTTATGAAGGTAGATATATATGGCTTAAAAATATATGCAGAAGTGTGAAAACTTTCACATCTAAAAGTAAATGAATCAGTCATTGCAATATGGCACTTTTCAAGCTGATTTTTTTAGCTTTGGATTTTTTTTTGTTCCCTCCAAAGACCTAGAATAAAGAGGTGCTGCTTCTAGGGGAAAAAAATGTTGCCACAAGCATTGCCACTGTGGTTTGTATTAGGTTATATTCTAAATGTGAAAAAATATTCTATGAAAAATAATGTGAGTTGCATTGATTTTCACTATACTTACAAAATGTTTTGTCACAACTAATGAGATTCATACTCTATTTTGAAGTCTTCCATTTTTTCTTAATCCCATTGATGTCTTTGTGTACTATCTATTCATTTATTGTTTTTCTTGGAGCCATAGTGTAGTTAAATTTAAGTTTTAGTGGTGGTTCTTTCCCGTTTTCCCGTTTTTTTAAAAAAAGATAACATGACCTGAGTAATCATAAACTTTGGATTTTATTTGCATTATGGTATCAGTTGTGAAAGGTACACATATAAAAATACAGAGGGGAGAATTTTGATAGGTTCATGGACAAATTTTGGTATCTTGAATGCAAAATTATTTTCATGGAACTAGTTGGAATGCTGTGTTTGTAAATTCAAGGTTCTATGTGTGAAATAAAACAGTACTCAAGAGCATTTTTGTTAATAGACTATATGTAGCCTGGAGTGCAGAACAAACTTGAGTTTCCAAGGTTGTAATATCTATCTACATATGGTAATTTACAGTTTGAATGTATGCCACTACATATGAGATAATGCTGTACAATTTTGACTGGTAGCAGTTCCTTCTTGTATGGCAGTCTGGCTGAACTATTTTGATGTACTGCTTAATTTTTGGATTTTATTTTTTAAGTTGTATAATTTATTTTCATGCAAATAAAATGTAATATAAAATATTCTAAAAACAATATCATGACTTTTTTGTTCTAAGGATTTTTTTCATTTATAATTCTACCCCACACCAGTAAGTATTATTAACCAAGATCTGAAAATAGCATCCTCACCTCTTTCCATGTTTTGTAGGATTGGGACCTACTTGATCAATGCTTTAGTAACAATTTTGTTCACATGGCATGCTAAACCATGATTAAATAAGCTGATTAACTTAACCTAATTTTCTAGGTTCACACTGAACCATAAATTAAGCAGATGTCCTGGATTTGTAAAGCACTTTAGATTACAGTATGGTTACCTAGTTTTTCTTTTAACAGTTCTTGAAAAGCAACCGACATATAGAATAACTGAGTTTGCTAGAAGTAGGTGGAATACAAAATGTAGATTTTGAATCCCAGAAAGGGGACTATACCCTCAACAGACTTTCTTAAAATGTGCCTTTTCAGATGTGATACAACAGCTCTTTGTGAGAATTCAAGCATCAGCTTCTTCCCAAGCTAATAGTAAACTTCTAAAATGGAAGATAATTTTCTGGGTATTTTGTAATATGGTGCCCAGCTAGATCGTTAAACAGGTCAGCCCTACTTGGGTGGGATCCCATCTGGGAAATTAATATTTTGAAAGAAAGTGGCAAATCCCTTTTGCATTATAGCTAACAACAACAAAAAAGAGCATGGATGGATAGTCAGCAAAGTTTCATTAAGGGTTACCAAAGATAGTAACATATCTATTTTAACCTGGATCAAATAAACTTAACTTATAATCCTTCCCTTTACTTTTAACAATCTTGGTCTTTAATTCCTTAAAATAATGTCCTAGAATTTGATTTCATTTTTTCTTCATTCCTTCTCACAAGATCCTTCATAACTTTTAACAGATCTCTTGTAAATCCCAATTATTAAGACTCAACTGGTTTCATTTGTATATCCAGTATATCATCTTCTTAGCATTCTTGTAACCTTTCATTTTAAATTCACCTTCAGATTAGTCATATTCTTCTTTCAAGTCATATTTATACATTATTTAAAATGGCAAACATTTTTAAAAGTAACTTCCGAGTCCATTGTTCACAAATATCCTTCAATACATCCAACGTTAAAGAATTTTGCTCCATTCTGTGTTAGCAAGTAGAATTTAAGTGTTCTTCTCTTTTAACTGTAATATTTAGTTCCTTCCAGTTCCCTCTGGAGTCCAACCTTCACAATAGTTTTCTTTTTTTAAAAATTCAAAATAACATCATTTTTCCACAGGAAGAATTCTTATAATTATAATGCTTATAATTAAGTTGTGCTCCATCACTGGAGATTTTTAAGAATAGTTTGGACAGCCATTTGTTCAGAATAATAGGGTCTCCTGCTTAAGCAGAGGATTGGACTAGAAGACCTCCAAGGTCTCTTCCAACTCTGTTATTCAAGCAGAGGCTAAAAAAAACCTGACTGAACTATTTTCTCAGACTCCTGGACTTAAGTGAGGGAATTGTACTATGCTGTATGACTGATTTATGTTTGATCATGATTTAAATCATCTTTGTTTTTATAATTTTTATTGTCTTTTTCTAATCTGGCTAAAATAATATTTATGCACGTTCAAACCCTTTGTAAGCAATTCTTACATGAAGAATTGTGCTTTTATTACCCAATCCTCTTTTTATAACCTGTAATATGCTCCTCTGCTATCAGTGTGCAATGAGTTTAGGCAATCAGGTTTAAAACTGGTGAATTATATACTAGAGTGTAATGTGATAAAAATATGTAGAAAAAGAATGAACCTAGGGAAGTTTCCCTAACTGTTATCTCATTATTCTTTTGTTTCCAAAATCTGCTGTGATATCCATGCTACTTGGTGGAGAGACCATAAGTAAATGATTAAAGCTAGAGCTCATTGTTTTAAGTGAAAGAACAGGGAACGTAATATAGATCCTCTACTAATTTCAGATTAGGTGATTTTTATTAAATATACAAGTGTGTGTGTGTGTGTGTGTGTGTGTGTGTGTGAGAGAGAGAGAGAGAGAGAGAGAGAGAGAGAGATCTGTATATATGTATAAGAGAGATTGTATGTTAAATTACTTGAGGATTCAAAATGATACTGCAGATTACATCACACTGTCTATGTCTGCACAGCCCACTGATTGACCATGTTACCTCATTTATTACATTTCCTGCATGATTTAATAGCCTCTATGTAGCTTTAGAATGTGATGTAAACTTCAGTGGTGCTGGTTTTATACTTATCCACCGGATTTCTGGATTTCCTTTAGACTTGAAAGATGTCAAATTTGGAGGGAGGAGGACAAGCAGACAAGCCATCTTGAGAAGAAAAGCCGTTGAGACCACCACTGTCTCTGGTTGATGCTTATTCTGCTGGGTGAAAAGTCAGAGGAGAAACACCTTGCATTTAATAAATGTACATTCACAAATGCGCATTCACAAAACGGACATCAATCAGCTTGTCAGCTCAAGTTAGGCTAATAAGGAAACAGACTCCTCAAGAATAATGGAAACACTACTTTGCGGATGTTGTCCAGTGTGTTGGCAATTTTAAGATTTCAGATTTCAATACCCAGAATTCTCCAGCCAGCACTGATGAGCACTGGTTCAAGAAATCTTGGAGTTAAAGATCTCTTAAAGTCGCCAAGTCTGGAAAATACTGATCTAGGCTACAGTAACAGAATCTTGGAAGTTTGACTCAGTTTTCCCTTTCTTCCTTTTTATATCCCAGGATGTTGAGGCAATGCTAGTCAGGATTTCTTCCTAATGTTTTACTTTCCAGGTTTACATGTTTTTACATCTGTTACTGCATATTTTTTTCACGGTGACTCCTTTGACTGCTACACAGTGTGGGAAGTCAGCCCCTCCCCCGAGAAGGAAATATTAAAATTATATTTCCTCAAAGGATCTTAAAGAGACAGAAAAGCATGCCCAGTTTTTCTTAATAGCTCCAAGTCTCCCTCCCCCAAGCAGAAACCAGCTCTGTAGAAATGCAGATATAATAATCCATTCAGGAAGATTGTGGCCCTCCAGCTAGAAGCTTAGAAAGACAAAGACACCTAAAATCTACATACCCCACCCAAACTCTTAAGACAGGACATAATAGGATTAACCCACAGATGCCAAAGGGGCACATCAGACTCAGGTCAAAGTACATGACAAACAGGAATAGGAAACAACTCCAAACAAAAGCCCAAGAGTATAAAACGCACTCCCTACTACATGTGCTCACTCTTTTTTCTTCCAGAGCCATCTTTCTGTCTGGCTCTCCTCTTCAATAACTGCAACCTTTCTAAAGCAGTCGCCATGTTGTTTATTCTCAGCTTGGACTGAAGGCTGATGAAGATTTTTCTTTCAATAACAGCAAGGACTGAAACAAATGCACCAGACTCAGATTGGCAATCAGAATTCATATTGTTTGTTTCTGCTGAATTTTCTGGCTGGGGGAAAGAAGTTTCTGCCTTTTTAAAGATCTTCTCCATTATTCCTTTGGAGAAATATATTCTGCCTTTTTAATATATTTCTTTCTCTGGCTTCTTCCCACAATACGCTGTGCTGACAGGTTTGTGTTAATCCAAGGAGAGGCGCAGAATATTTTTACTCGTGTGTAGGTACGTGCCTTTAAATTAAAGTTGACTCTCTGCAGTTTCTTTGGCAAGTTTTTTTTTTTGGGAAGTGATTTGCCACTGTTTCCCACGACTCAGAGAGAGGAATAAGCCCAAGGTCACGCAACTGGATTTATGTCTAAGGCAGGACTAGAGGCAGCGCTTTTACTTAGCAATAGGGACAAGGAGTGAGATGGGGAGATCATCCCCATCCTATCCAGCATTGACCTACACTTTGATCCTTCAGAATCTGTTAGACTGGTGTTTTTCAAATTTGGCATACTGGCTGTGGAATTCTGGGAGCTGATGACCATAAAGTCACCAAGTTTGAAAGAAACGGTGTTAGGTTTACACAATCCATGTAGTCTAGCCCAGGGGTAGGCAACCTTGGCTCTTTTATGACTCGTGGACTTCAACTCCCAGAATTCCTGAGCCAGGCTCAGGAATTCTGGGAGTTGAAGTCCACGAGTCATAAAAGAGCCAAGGTTGCCTACCCCTGGGCTAGCCATATTGTCTCTTGTAATCATAGCAACTCTAATCTTTTTTTTTTTTTTTCCTGCACGGGTTTCTTCAATTTCCTACTTCTACAGTGGTCTGACGTCACCCACCTCCCGCCGCTTTCCACAGGCTCGCTCTCTTCTACCGCCCGCCCTTTTCTCGCGCGCCTCCAATAATGACGCTTCTGGGGGGGGGGCGAGCCCATTTTTTTCCTCAGGAGCGTGGCTTCAGAAGGGAGGGCGATTGGACGAAGACGGCCGTCCTTTCTGCCTTCCCATTGGCCGGGCTCGAGGGCGTGGCAACGTGCTGGTGAAGGTGACGGCAGAGGTGCTCCCTTCTGGTTCCAGTTGGCGAGGTGGTTGAAGTCGGCGCCGGGATGCAGTGCGGACGGCAGGTAGCGAAGCCCCTTCTGGTGAGTAGCGGCCCGTGACGTAGCGAGGAGACCCGGATACTCGGCGTCTTTCCCCCCCCCCCAGAGAAGCGTATTTTGGTCGTGACAGGTTTGGGGCGGCCCCTCCCTCCCTGGTCGTTGACCGCCACGCCATCCTCCCTCTAACTCAGGGATCTTCAACCTTGGCCCTTTGATGACTTGTGGACTTCAACTCCCAGAATTCCTCAGCCAGGCACGCTGGCTGAAGCATTCTGGGAAATGAAGTCCACAAGTCATCAAAGGGCCAAGTTTGAAGAGCCCCTGCAAGTCTACGTAAACCCTGCTGGCCGGAGGAAGAAGAGGTGTGGGGTGGGGTTCCTTACTGGACGCCTCCCTGCGCGGTATGTGAGGTGTGCAAGCTCTGGACTCGTTTGTCTGCCGGAGGGATGGAAGCGGGTCTCTTGCATTTAAGGAGCAGGGAACCCGCTCGCTTTCCCGTGGATGGGAGCGCAAAGCAAAGCGTGACTTGCTTTGACAACGACAACGAACTAAATTCCTTGGACGAGGACTTGGGACGAGGCACGTCTCCAAACTTGATGTCTCTGCTGAACTGGTTGGCTGGTTGATTGATTAGCAGTGTTTCTCAACCTTGACTATTTTAAGGCATGTGGACTTCAACTCCCAGAATTCCACAGCCAGCATTGCTGGCTGTGGAATTCTGGGAGTTGAAGTCCACATGCCTTAAAATGGTCAAGGTTGAGAAACACTGCATTAATGTGCCACCAAAATGTTTTCAACACCCAGCGAGTCAGATAGATAGATTTTCTCCATGATGATCTATCCCTCACCCGTACTTTCGAGCAAAGGGTCACTCTCTGAACTCATTGTCCTGTCCCCGAGTTTGACCAGCTTGCTATGGTCACCCTCTTCTCTTTCCTTCCACCTTTCCCAGCCTGTTCCAGAGAAAGAAGGGGTTTGCATAATGGATCCAAAGTAAGATAATTTGAGCCTGATCATCTGGGTCTCGGGCAAAAACTTTGGGTTGATTTGTTCAATGATACATTGGATTATTTTTATTTTTATTTTTGTAGTCCACAGTATTCTCAGAAATCTTCTCCAACACCGAAGTTCAAATGCATCAATGCTTTTGTTGAAATGATTTATAAACTCAGATTTCAAGAGGAGGAGAAAATGTCTTCCACAGAGCAATTGGAATCCAAGACTGGTGATAATATTATTGGAAAAATATAAATGTTCCACAAAGTGACTGGTGGAAATAAGGAGGAAGGGAAGAGAACAAAGGGTCAATCTTTTGCTTCTTCCACAGTCTGTTTGGATTGACTGTGATGTTAGAGACCAGAGATTTAGCATGCTTTAATATTTTTTTTTTTAATGGAACAATTCTGGTTGAGGAAAGTGTGTGCAGCATATAGTATTTCTCTATGTTAGGAGAAGACTGAACTTGTTTCTTAGCTTCTGATTCAGCTGTTTAAAAAAAAATAAGATTGGCTTGAGGTGCTTTGTTAAATGACAAGTATATAGTGCTCATTGCTTCCACTCTTTCTGGTAATAAAAAAGGCAGTAATCTCATATGGTGGTCCCATGTGCAAGGTATATTAATGAGACATGACACCTCCCCTTTTTGGTAAGAGGTGTTCTCTATTTGTTGTCTTGGTAGTTCTCAAAATTGCTGCTATTGTGGTTCTGTTTCTATATCTGGGATCATATATCTTGTGTTTATCATTTGTATGCAAACAGATAAAAATTAATCAGTAAACTCTTGGTGCTGAAATGTTTGCTATGGCAAAACAGTTCAAATAAACTAAGACACAGAACAAGCCTTTAAGTTTTAAATAACAGAGTGACAATAGAATCGGGCTAAAATAAGCAGCACTCATCCATCTAGGCTACACTCAAGGACATTTTTGCCATTTTACAGCAATGGTTGCTTAACTGATAAGAATCTGAGTTAAAATATTTGTATTTATGTGGCAATCCTACAGGTATCCATTTTAATATGTGAATAGGATGAAAACTTTTGGAATTTGTGATGCAGGGTTAGGAAAGCTCACACAGAGCCACGGAAGCTCACACACAAAAAAGAACCTGTAAATAACAAGATTTGATCAATGGACAAGTACAAAATAAGTGCTAAATCCAGACAAAGGTATCAAGTTGGAAGAAATGGGTAAAAGGTCAACAAGAAAAGATAGTGTATTAGGATATTGTAAGGAAAATAACAAAAACAGCATTCTTCCATTAAAGTCAAGTTGAGAAGTCAAACTGCTATGCAAGGTCTATTGAAACACACTGGATTCCTGACAATTAGTTGTGTAGCTCACAGGCCAAAAGAACCAATCAGAACTAAGAGGGCCTGTGTGGACATAGTGTGACATACCTAGAATTAGATATAACCTAGGACAGTGTTTCTCAACCTTGACAATTTTAAGGCATGTGGACTTCAACTCCCAGAATTCCACAGCCAGCAATGCTGGCTGTGGAATTCTGGGAGTTGAAGTCCACATGCCTTAAAATTGTCAAGGTTGAGAAACACTGACCTAGGAGATGGCAAAGCAGAGGTCAATAAAAGCTCTAGCCTTACAGAGGGTGAAGGAGGGGAAAATGAGCATCAGTAGTTGTGGGACAAATAGTGTATACATTCATCATCTGCTTTACAGTCATTTTGGGCTACTTTACCCAAGTGTAGGAAATTTGAATGTATTAACGAATGACTTTTATTGTAACAACTTTGTTCATGTTTCCTACTCTATATCCTCTGCCTCTTTGATGCTTGCTTATGGATCTCTATGCATTTTGTATTACAGAGCATTATATATCTTTAACAACAACTGTGTAACAGCTACGTATCACTGATTCAGTAGCCCAATATCTTTCTGGATGCTCTCTAGTCCAAAAAAGGCTGACAGTAGTATAGACTTGATCTTTCTGTTCTGCAAGTTATGCCATATTACAATAAATGCTGTAATCTCTTTTGCAGGCATTAAGATTTTCAAGCCGAAGCTACTCAGCACAACGTGGTTTAAATGTGAGTATTGCTAAAATAATCTCATGGAATTGTGGCTCCAAACTATGCTTATGTTATAAAAACACAATGTTTCTGTATCTACTAGAAGTAATTAGAAAAACACATGCAAGAGCAGTATATTGTTGCGTGTAGTTTTGTCCAGAATGCACTGCATGGATTTGTTTTCTATATAGAAATATAGCAAGCAACACTAAATTGTTACTTTGTGCAGTGCTAAAACTACATTGCTTTCTCAAACCTTTTGATGCCAAAATAAGCCAAATGGTGTCCAGAATGCCACAGATGCTTTTGCTACTACAGGAAGTCTAGACTACTTATAATTTGACCCACATATATTGTCATAAAAAGTTTACTTTTTTCTTAATCCTTCAAGCTATTAATACATTTAAATTATCATGCTTTTTGACCTTCTCGCAAAAGAGCAAAGGTGTCAGACCCTCAATGTGTTTCTTTCTTATGCTTTTATTTTCGGGTTCTGACATTCTATTGGGGAGGACCGACCTAGGGGTCTTCTGCAATGTATTTCCTCTGCTTTGTTCTATCCTCTTTGAAGTATCTTATTTTGGCGTGTGAAAGAAATGTGCCTCCAGCCATCTGCCTTATCTCCAGTCGAATGGGGAGAAGCCGGGGAGAAGCCGGGGAGAAACCTGACAGTCTTGAGAACAGCGCCTTATTGGTTCTTTCCCACAATAACAACACCTACGTATTGGTTCAATTCAAGCTGGCTGGCTGGACATTTGGGGTGGGGTTTGAAGAGGTTCTTTTAATGTAACATTTCATGTGGGAAATCCTCAGATCCTGCCTTACTCTCCTGCTATCAATACCTTCCAATAAAAGTTCCTGTTGAGACAATGCAAGTTTCAAGAGTTCTGCTTTCTTGGGAGAATTAACTGAGGCAGACTCTTACAAAAAGGGAAGCTTTCTATTCTATGGTTTAGGTTGTTTAACAACTATAATTTTGCTGAGAAGTTAGTGTTTGCATTTGAATAAACAGATTTGTATTGCTTCTGTAACCAACAGTATGCACTGAATATTCTTAGAATCTAAAGCATTATTCTGAAATCCCTTTTAGTTAAACTGATGTAATGCTTTTGCTTATCCAGGAGGTAGTTATCGTAAGTGCTGTCCGGACACCAATAGGATCTTTCCAAGGTTCCCTTTTCCCACTGCCAGCCACTAACCTTGGCTCAATTGCAATTAAAGGAGCAATAGAAAAAGCAGGTACGTAAAGAAGCTCTAGCCTTGCTTTCTTCCCATTATTTAATCTTACTGATTTTTACCAGTGAAAATGATGGAGCTAGTTGAGATGGTGAAATTGACAGTTTTGATTTGAGAAAGGACATTAATTAATTTAATATTGATTAGAAACCCGTTCTGTACTTATTGTGTGAAATAGAAAAAGTGAAATTATGATAATGGTAGAAACAATCAAAGTTGCAGGTAGTCCTTGACTTATAACCACAATTGACCCCATAGTTAGGATACCTTCGAGACCGCCTTCTGCCACAGATTACCTCCCATCGGCCAGTACGCTCCCACAGGGTGGGTCTCCTCAGGGTGCCGTCGGCCAGACAGTGCCGGCTGGCGACCCCAAGGGGGAGGGCCTTCTCTGTGGGAGCTCCCACCCTCTGGAATGAGCTGCCCCCAGAGATCAGGGTGATCCCTGATCTCCCTTCC